GAAATTCTGCCATTGCTTTGATGAAGATTGTTAAGTTACTTTTTGAAGTCATGAATCGATCATGTCCAGACCATCATTAGAAAGCCTGGAGCACTGAAAGACGACAGTTTCGTCCTGGTATGGGACTCATCAGTAGTGAATTGATCGAAGTTAGACATTAGCACCGTTAGATGCTGGCTCCATGTTTCAGAGGTTAGGAGTTCGCGTGCAAGATCGAAGGCTCTGTATTCGAATCCTGTGAGTAGTGGGAGTTGATGAATCCTACACCTGGACGAAATGACCGTCCAGTGCTTTGAGGTTTCTAATGGTGGTCTAACAAAAGTTATTATCTATTAGTGGTCACTCGGGCAATAAATGGATATAAGCTTTAGGATTTTTTTTATCGGTTACTTACACCTGTTAATCCCAATGGAGCATAGGCCGCCATCAACATTTTCCAACCTACTCTGTCCTCAACCTTCGTTTCCAGTTCTTTCCAGTTTTAGTTCATTCTTCTCATGTCTTTCTCTATTTTCTTGACCTTCCTCTTCTCCCTTTTCCTTCTGTGTTCCAAGTCAGGTCTTGTCTTTTGAAACAGTTCGGTTTCTTCCCGCAATGTGCGTCCTATCCACTTCCACCACTTCTTCCTGATTTCCTCATTCATTGCAATCTGATTTGTTCTCTCACACAGTAGGTTATTACTGATGGTGTCTGGCCGACAAATCCGAAGTATTTTACGCAGTCAACTGTTCATAAATACTTGTATCTTCTGGATGATGGCTTTCACGGTCTTCCAAGTTTTCGCTCCATACAGTAGGACTGTCTTGACATTTTGTATTGAAAATTCTCATTTTGGTGTTGATTGATTGTTGTTTTGAGTTTCAGATGTTGTTCAAGTGTAGAAATGCTGCCCTTGCTTTGCTGCTCCACACCTTCAAATTTCCATTCGATCCACCTTGCTCATCTATAAGGCTGCCATGATACGTAATGGTTTTCACATCCTCTAAGTCATCTCCATCAAGTATGATGTGGTTAGTACATGTTGTGTTGTTTCGAAGAGTCTTAATTTTTCCTTTATGTATGTGCGACCTACAGCTGCACGAACTGTCGCTACACTGGTAGTCTTCTCTTGCATTTTTTTGATACATGTACAATAGAAAAGCCAGATCATCTGAGAACTCCAGCTCATCCATCTACATCCTAGCCATCCACTGTATACCGTTCTTCTCTCCAGATGTTGACGTTTTCATAATCCAGTCGATCACCAGGAGAAAGACAAAGGAATCGATTATCTCCAAACACTTAATATTCGAAGATAGTGTACATCGTGTTGAGTTATTCTGACTATTACCAGATGACAACTCAATCGAATGAATTTAACAAGCAATAAAATACTGGCAAAACATATTGCTTGGCAATAGAAAAACACCACGAGTTCCATTCAATCAGACAGTATTCAACTAAAAAATGTGCACTCTCAGAAATCATCTGCTCACTTTTATCAATGATGATCTCTATTGAAGCCTCGACAATTACGTAATTATTCAAAACATCGGTACAGGTTTTCTATCATCTCCTGGCAGAAATAATTCACATCATGAAATATGAAAACAGTCGAAATCGTGTAACCCAATGTGATTCAAATTTTCAACAATAGCGCACGATTGGATGTAGTTGTGCCTTCCTGAAAAAAAAACGCAATTATACAAAAGCTACCGTGATCTTTAAGATTTTCTTATTAGTAGCGCTTTTAATAAATCAATAAACATCTGAAATTTTTTTTCATATGATTGACAAGACACTGTAATTAGTGCATGTCACAACGTCAATTTGATATGCTTCAAACTATTACGAGTTCACCTTAGTTGGTAAACGGAGCAAGGATCAATGATCCGGCGACACGATAGGCTTCTCTAATCCTGGCGTCCCAAACCTCTATTAGATAGAAGAAGACTTGATATGAAGTAGAAACAGTATTCTACAAGAATGCAGAAAGTACTAGGTCCGAGTCCGACTAAGGATCAGGATCAGAAAACGTTACAGATAACCCATATTTATACAGTTAGGACGACCGATTGGAATCGACTTATAGGAATTGACCAATAGAATTAGACTTACAAAATAATTATCATTTAGGATATCTGATTAATATCCTAACAGTTCATGAACATACAAGAATATTTATATACATATATTACCTACTCACTTACGCCTTTTACTCTCAATGCATCATAGGCCACCGACGTGTATTTTACAACCTACTTTGTCCGAGTGTGGTGCGCGCTACTTATAAGTAGTATATGACGCGAGTGTAAACGTAATGTCTGGCAGTAGAAGATGGGGGAAGATCAAGAAAGGAAGAGTGGGAACACAATGAAATTTGTATGAAACGCATGAACAGTGAAATGTCAGACAATGGATTGATGTTTTGCAAATAAACGGTTTACGATATGGTTTTCCTATTTTACTGAGTAAGTGTAATTTTCGTTAAATACAATTCGGTTGCCCTCACCTGTGTTCTCCTTCACTACACTAGTACTCCCGTTCCAGTTCCGTTCAATTTTTGTACACTCTTCTTATGTGTGTCTCCATTTCTCTGTGTAATGTGTTCCTTGGCCTTCCTATTTTCCTCTGGCCTAGAGGGTTCCGAGTGCTTGTCTTGTGACGCAGTTATGTGCTTTCCTAAATGTGTGTGTGCCCTATCCACTCCCAGCACTTCTTTCTGATTCCCTCCTCCAATGGAACCTGTATTAAAAATGATAGTATCAATCGAATCGAATAATGGGCTCTTTCATTGCAGATTGGAAATCATAGGTTAATAAACACTTGCTAAATCCTAATCTGAAAAGATTTACTCCTCAAACAAATTTTAATCTCTCGAGGTTATATTTCATGGATAAACTAATCTTACTAACTAACTTACTTACTTACTTTCTCCTGTTACCCCCCAATGGAACATAGGTGGTCGCCCACCAGTTTTCTCCAGTCAACTCTGTCCCAGGCTTCCTTTTCTAGTTCTTTCCAGTTTTTATTCATTCCTCCCATATCTTCCTCTATTTCTCGATGTAATATGTTCCTTGGCCTTCCTCTTTTCCTTCAACCCCGAGGGTTTCAATTGAGTGCTTGTCTTGTGACGCATTTAGGTGCTTTTCGTAGTGTGTGTCCTATCCACTTTCACCGCTTCTTCCTGATTTCCTCCTCCACTGAAATCTGTTTTGTTCTCTCCAACAGTACGTTGTTACTGATCATGTCTGACCAACGAATCCGAAGTAATGTGCGATGATAACTGTTAATAAACACTTGTATCTTCTGGATGATAGCTTTCGTAGTGGATGAACTAATCACCTGGCCTGAAATTCTAAATCATAATCCATGAGGCTAACAAATAGTAGTATTGCATTGCACCCAATATCTGTTCAAATCTATTAAAGAACAATTCATATCACAGCATTTATCTTTAACTAATCTCACTTGACACATATTTCCTTCACCAAAATCTAACTCACGATAACTGATTACCATGATCAATGTATTCACATGACTCATATGACTAATATAATCATTTGATTGGTAAATACTTTTTTTTAAAAAAAAAAATCTGACCAATCAATAAAATCAATCGATCAATCATTGAACACAACCAAAAAAGAAAAACTAAACAACCATTTTTTCGTCTGTTGCATGATTCATTAAAACAAAATAAAAAAAACAAACTCAACTTGATTGAACTATCTATCATATTTGTGTAACATAAAATGTGGGAAATACATGCTTACTTATTGAATATCTCTGTAACACTATCTATATGTATACATAATATTTTAATGTTATACGATACAGTGTATAATTTGCCAATAAAATTAATTTCACGAGAATTAAATATTGAAATGGATGCAGTGTATCGTTTAAAAAGTTATCTATTTACAAAATTACCATTATTCTCTGGTGGTTCATTAATATGTACCTTTTATTGGATAGTTGTTTTAATTAATCGACCAAAATCTAATGATTTAAATGATGATGATGATGATGAAGATGATGATGAAGATGATGATGATGATGATGATGACGATGATGATGATGATGATGACGATGATGAGTATAATCATTATTATAAAAATAAAAATAAAAATAATAAAAATAATAATAATAATAATTATAATAAAAATAATAATAATAATAATAATGATAATAATAATGGTAAAATCAATCAAAATATGAACAATTTTTTAACAAGTTTTTGGAATTTATTTATTCTACCTTATACACTGTTTGCATTACTCTTGAGTATTTATGCAATGATAGTAATGACTGATGAAATAGGATTTTTAAAAGAAGATATTTTAAATTATATGTATAAAGTATTTGATGAAATTGTATCAAAAAATACTACAGGTAAGTAGATGCATTTTATCAAACTATTTTTGGTTTCTTCTCAGTTTTTTCTGTGTCATTGTGATGTGAGCTACTTATAAGTAGTAAAGTAGTGAATGAGAACACAGGTGGGGCAACCGAATTGTATTTAACGAAAATTACATAGTTACTCAGTAAAATCAGAAAACCATATCGTAAATCGTTGTTAATTTGCAAAGGATCAGTTCATCCTATGGAACTGGACTGTTCCTGTTGCCAAACATCAATCCATTGTCACTATTCATGCGTTTCATACAAATTCCATTGTTTTCTAACTCTTCCTTTCTTGATCTTCCCCCCATCTTCTGCTGCCAGACATTACGTTGACACTCACGTTATATACTACTTATAAGTAGTTCGCACCACACCACCACAGTAGTATATGATGTGAGTGTCAACGTAATGTCTGGCACAGCAGAAGATGGGGGGAAGATCAAGAAAGGAAGAGTTAGAAAACAATGGAATTTCTATGCAACGCATGAATAGTGAGTGACAATGGATTGATGTTTTGCAACAGGACCAGTCCAGTTCGATATGTGATGAACTGATATTTTGCAAATGAACGATTTACGATATGGTTTTTGATTTTACTGAATAACTCTGTAATTTTCGTTAAATCCGATTCGGTTGCCCCCACCTGTGTTCTCGTTCACTTCATCATGATTGTACTAATAATTGGATTGAAAAAAACTTGAAAATTGAACAATAGCATATTTTTTGGCGGGAATTTCTAAAGAAAAGCATGTACATTTATGATGAATTAATTAAGTAGGATAATTTAAAAACTCTGTACTGTATCGGTGATAATGAAAATTTATTAGGCATACAGATTAGGAAGGATACTAGTTAGTGTTTGATGAATCCATGAACACATGATTGAATAGTTTACGCCTAGTGAAATTATAGCTGCTCTATTGCATTCTTTATATTCAACAATGTTTGAAGAGAGAGAAAAAAAAATCACACTGAAGACAGGAAAATGAACTACTTTGGGGCAGAGTTTTGGAGGTTTTTGTTTTTACACATTTTTGAAATCATCAATCAATCAATCATTGTTAGACAGAGCACCATTAGAAACCTAGAAGCACTGACAGACAGCCGTTTCGTCCTGGTATGGGACTCATCAGTGACAGTGTACATCCACAACTCCTGCTCCTCGTGGGATTCGAACCTGGGACCTTCGGGATTGTGCGCGACCGCCTAACCATTGGACCACTGTGCTGGCGGCATCCAACGGTGTTAATGTCTAACTCGGATTGATCTAGGGATTTTGCGCGACCTCACCCAATTCGTCTTTGGTAGTTACTGCCTACACCCAACAGGGTTGAACTCCATTGGTCACGCACGTCTTCTCAACTAGAACTCCGAGAATTTCCTCCAAAACTCCCCTTCCCCCAAAATATCGTAACAGTGCTCACTAATGACTAGCTTCGTGAGGAAATTTATTTCACTGACAAGTCTGTTAATAACTGCTTACTGAACTGTTCACACAAACTACTCCTCTTTGGAGATAGGTCATAGAAAAAATGCATGCTTTTTTGGAGGTATGATATCTCTAGATCACATTGGGTCAAAATAATATTTGAATGTTTTGTTTGTTTAAGTTTTTACAAACATTTTATTAGACATTTAAAAAAGTATCCTTATTGATGAAAGATTTTAGATTTGATTTAATTCGTTTTTTGAATTCTAAAATGTTTTACTATTATGCGGTTGTGGAGATTGTTGTTGAGTAGTTAGTTACTTATGTGATGGTGGAGAAACGTTTTAGCTCAGCTGGATGATTGTGGTGGTGGTGTTTCGTTTTCTGAGCTGGATGTGGTTTGGTTGTGAAGTTTTCAGTGTTCTTCTTCTTCTGAACAACATCGTCAGGAGCACAAACTTCAGACAGCTGAAGTGAAGTATTCGAATTTCTTCACGTTTGACAAGTAGCTAGTTCTGTTAACCTCGATCTTGATTGGTTGTTGTTGACCTTATTAAACCTGTCGTTGTTTGCACCTTTGTTTTGATTGTATCCTCCTTTTTGATCTGTTTCTTGATCCTATGTCACCTATGATTTTCCTGATTGATTGATAAATTGGGTCTGAGTGCCAAGCTTCTAAAAATTCCCTAGTGTTCTTTGTCCTCCCCTATCCAGTATTTCCACATTGTCCCAATCGAATGTATGTCCATAATTGTCGGTGTGTATTGATATTGTGGTGCTGTGGTGCGAACTACTTATAAGTAGTATATAACGTGAGTGTCAACGTAAAGTCTGGTAGCAGAAGATGGGGGGAAGATCAAGAAAGGAAGAGTTAGAAAACAATGCAATTTGTATGAAACGCATGAATAGTGACAATGGATTGATGTTTGGCAGCAGGAACAGTTCAGTTCCATAGGATAAACTGATCTTTTGCAAATGAACGATTTACGATATGGTTTTCCAATTTTACTGAGTAACTCTGTAATTTTCGTTAAATACAATTCGGTTGCCCTACCTATGTTCTCATTCACTACAGTATAAGCGAGGCGATGTCGTGGTGTTTGACTGCTAATTGGTGTTCACGTAAATGAAGCTGAAGAGGCTGCCCACTTTGTCCTATGTAGTGAGTGTTTTTCACAGTCTAAGCAGCTTACTTTGTAGATGATATTTGGTTTTTCTTCCTTTGTCATTTTTTCCGTTTGTCTACATAAAAATTGATTGAAGTGATTCTGTTGGTTTGTGTGCCACACCTATTCCAAATAGTTTCAGTAGTCATACTGTATGCTCCGATATGTCTTTTACGTATGTTAGTATGATCCGTTTATTGGTTCCTGTACTTGATTTCGCTTCTGTTGAGGATTTCAGTTGATTTTTTTTTTGATGAAGTTGTGTAGATAAACGTTCTTTTGGGCTTTTACACGTTTTTGTGTGCTTCATATGTGTTGCAGTATGTCTTCGCTCTAGTTGAACAACGTTTGTATGCAGTTGATTTTGTGAGTTCTTTGGTTGTTGCTACCGTAGTTGAGAATAACGTCCGTGTGTGTGTGTGTATGTGTGTTGAGTTTCTTCTTTTCCTGTATTAGTTCTAGTGATTAGAATATCCAGGAATGATAGACCACTGTGTATGATTCCTTTTCCATGGTGAATTTTATGTCATCGAAGATGTTGTTGTTACTTATTATTATAAAATCGTGTCAATCAATCAATGTCAGCCCGGTATTAGAAACCTGGAAGAAGCACTGAAAGACAACGACCCTTTTTTTCATCCTAAAATGAGACTTGGATGTAAACTGTTTGTAAATTGTTTCTGCCGGAGTTCGCGCACAATCCCAAAGGTCCCAGGTTGGAATCCTGCGAGGTGTTAGGAGTTGTGTGGATGTGCACTACCACTGATGAGTCCCTATACCAGGACGAAACGGCTGTCTTTCAGTGCTTCTTCCACATTTCTAATTGGTGGTCTAACAATGATTGATTGATTGATGATTTCAATTTGAATTAATATAATCTGAACAATCATCATCAATTATAATTTTCCCGGTGTTTGTTTTTTTTATACTTACTAACTAGTTGAACGAACAGATAAACTTATTGATCATTTAGAACGATTACAATTTGCATTTACTTGTAATGGGATTGTACTTGAATTATACTATCGATTATTAGACAAATATTCTTTACCAGTACAATATTTGAAAATTTTCTATCATAGTCATAATCATACTCATAATAGTTCGTCATTTTATCCATGGAATTTTACAGAACAAATTGAATATTTATTATTAAATAGTTCTGGACATGATCAAACTATACATAATCATTTGCATAGATTACATCCACTACAGCATTGGAAAATGAATCAAGAAGCGCCGGAAATGAATTATTTCGATTTTGATTGTACCAAATCGATTACTTTACAATTAACTAGTGAATTAAACGCTATGGTATGGATGTATTGCAGTGTTAATATTGGTTTACATCTAGTACAATTATTTATTCGTGTCAATACAACTGAAAGTGTACCAGATAGTATACGATTTAAAAAATGGTCATTAAGTATGACTAGATTTTTACAATTAAGACGAATTTATCAACATTTAAAAGATTCTCTAATCTATGGATCATATGGTTATGTATCTGATTGGAATTTATTAAAAGCATATCAAAATCTTGAATTATATTTTGAATCAATAAAAGAATATTTGGAATATTTGAATAATACCACGACGAATATGATTGTTAGTAATATACCACCATTGTATAAATCAGTGGATAAATTATTGAAACAACAACCTAGTCGTGGTGTAATGAAGAAATCAAAATCTCATGATGATAAATCACCGAGTGAACATCATTCAAAAATGGATCGATTTCGAAAAGTATGGCAAAAATGTGTATCAGTGTTACACATCATAGTATATAATGATATAATGGAGACAGTGGACATTGATTTCAATCTTATATACATACATCGTTTGATATCAATTCTACGTCCAGTATTTTTTCTATGTTTAGGTTATATATTGAGTAGAATATACATTCTTGTGATTAATCATATTCCATATAGAAGAGTTAACATTGAATATCATCAACAACATGCTGCTGCTTTAATTGCATATGATGCTAGTTATACAAATAATTTCAATGTTAATTCTAAATTTATCAATGAAGCATATGCAGTAATTTATGCTATTGAAGAACATACTGATTTATTTTTACGTATTACCATTATGATTGGTGTGCTGATCTCATCACGTGTACGATGTTTATTATTAATTGTAATACCGACATTAGGATTAACAGGTGGTAGTATGTTTATAGCTAATCAATTGATACATATGTCATTAGTTGGACCAATGACATCGATTGATTATAATATGGATAAATTGATTACTGCTTTAAGGTGTATCGGTGAAAGAGCACGTAAAATTTCTTATGGTCCAGAAAGTTCCAGTCCATTGGAATGTATAATATATGAAGTGAAAAATCCATCAACTGGATTAATGCTGTCTAGAGATTTTGTCGACAATCCACCAATCTCACCTGAAATAGTAAGATTAATCAATGAAGTCAGTGAGAATATGAGTATGTTAATTACAGATTATCAAAGTGTTCTACCAGAATTAGATTTATTGGTGAGAAGAATTGAATTTACCTCATTTCTTTTTGATTTTTTTTAAATGGATAAATATACATTGAAGTTGTAGGAATACAGTAGTGAACGAGGACACAGGTGGGGGGGGGGGCAACCGAATTGCATTTTTAACGAAAATTACAGAGTTACTCAGTAGTAAAATTGGAAAACCATATCGTAAAACCGTTGTTAATTTGCAAATTATCAGTTCATCATCCTATCGAACTGGACTGTTCCTCTGTTGTAAAACATCAATCCATTGTCACTATTCATACGTTTCATACAAATTCGATTGTGTTCTAACTGTTCCTTTCTTGATCTTCCCCCATATTATGCTGTGCCAGACATTACGTTGACACTCACGTCATATACTACTTATAAGTAGCTCACATCACACTCGTCCCCCCTTTTAATAAGCTGTCGTTGTAGTCTTTCAAAACAGGCACCCTGGTCAGTTAATATCACCTTCCGTATTCCGTGACACGCTACAATATGCCGGATTACCACTTCGGTCATTGTTCTTGCCTGCTGGTCTGGAATGGGTACGGCATCTATCCAACGTGTAACGTTTACTAGTTCCCGCTACTGGAATACGGCGACAGGCACACTCTCGATAAATTGCGACGCCAAAAACTGTGCCCCGACTCCTCATCCATACTCCATACTCGACAGCGTACGGCGTATCAACATCGTGAGCTCCACAGCCAGCACCAACGGGTCACCACCAGCCGACAGCCTCGCCAACCGGAACCTCTGTGGCGCCTCCTCCCTGTCCACTGGGCTGTCGAACTCCGTCATCATCCGCCCGGTGATCGTCTCCCACGCCGTCTTCCCGGCGGCACCGTCCAGGCTGTCGTATACCGCCTTCGCCTCACCTCCCCGCAGCGTTCCCAGCACCGCCAACTCCGCCTGGGCCTCTTCGCACCCACCAGCTCCACCGTGGCCTCAAACTCCTCCGGGAAGCTCTTCAAATCTCCGTCCTCCAACTCCTTCGGCCACGGGAGCTCCTTCCTTCGAGCAGGCAGCGACACCAAATGTGGTGAAAGAGAACACCGGTGGGGCAACCGAATTGTATTTAACGAAAATTACAGAGTTACTCAGTAAAATTGGAAAACCATATCGTAAATCGTTCATTTGCAAATTATCAGTCCATCATATCGAACTGGACTGTTCCTGTTGCCAAAACATCAATTCATTGTCACTATTCATACGTTTCATACAAATTCCATTGTTTTCTAACTCTTCCTTTCTTGATCTTCCCCCCATCTTCTGCTGCCAGACATTACGTTGACACTCACGTCATATACTACTTATAAGTAGCTCACACCACACTACTAACCGCTTTGCTTATTAACTCAGGTCTCTTTCATTTGGTCGAAAAATGGTATTGCGAAGAAATCAAATTACTCAACACATGAGACAAAGGGTAGTAATAAGAGTGTCTGAGCTTATTCACATCAAGCTATGCTGTATCGCTTGCTATCCTACGCCATACTATGTGTATACTATATGGTATACTGTTTTATATAGAGCTGATGAAAGTTTCCTATGAGACTAGAGGTTCACTGTTGTGATGAATATTGTGGATGGTTCGGAATTGCTTTGGCAAGTATTGCTAACACAGTCCATATACATGATTAGTTATCGGGGTGACCGATTTTGATTGATACTAGTGGTGGTTGTTTTGCAACATTCCCTAGGGCCATTGTCATTAAGGTGCTGTATTGAATATTACCATTGTTAATAATAATGAGTTTGACAGTCATGTAAGCGCGATGGATTGAATTAGCCTGTTCATGCGGTGCATATTGACTGTGACATGATCGTGCATCGGTGTATATAAATGGTGTGAATGGTTTATGAACTTATTTTATTTTAACAGAAAGAGTCATTTGAATAGCACTAACTTGTCTCATACTACGGCTTTTTTGTATAAGATTGTCGAATTTCTATATGTACACCTGATCATTGGCTGGAGCCTATACACATATACAAATTCATCATCCTACTGGCTGTAATTAATGTGCTACGCATACACGTGAACACGTCAATTCGATATACTTGAACTATTAAACAGTTTACCTTAGTCGGAAAAAGAGAACGAGGGTCGAATATCCGGCCACATGATATGCTACTCTAATCCGAGTGTCTCAAACCCCATAATGAGTGAAAAAAGAAGACTTGATATGAAGTAGAACATGTATTCTACAAGTATCTAGAAAGTACGAGGTCCGAGTCCAGAAGAGAATCAGCATGCCGGACCCGGGTCAAAAAACGTTACAGATAATGCATATTTATACAGTTAGGTTTAATCCGAAACAACATTGAAGACTGTGAAATTGATAGCTTGGACGACCATAAAATTGACCAGTAGGAATTAACCAACAGGAAGTGACCAATTATTCTCTTAGGATATTGGTTGAATATCCTAACATAATGTTAGTTTCTTGAAAAATTCGATGACTCATTCATATTTCCGTATGTATAGTTGATATAATTAAATGCTATTACGAGTTCATCTTACTCGATAAACGGAACAAAGATCAACGAACGATTCAGTGACACGATTAGCTATTCTAATCAGTTTGTCCCAGGCACTGCTAAACTAGATCAAGAAGTCTCGATAAGGCGTACAGAATGCATCATTCTACAAGCATCCAGTAAAATACGAGATTGCTAAGTATACAAATCAAGCTTATTTATACAATGATACAAACAACCTTGGTGAAAGTCACAAAATAACATACTGAAATAATCCATCAACTAATAATAGTCAAGGATTTTCCGAATGGTGGAAAATGTAACAAGTCAGTCAATTTAGCATCTCTTGGCACGAAATATAGCAATTTAAAATTAAAATTACAAAATTAGGACCTTTTCCAATTGAATTCTGAAAGGGATCTTACGTCCCTCAACATGAATATATACACATTTGAAATCATCAATCAAAACCATTGTTAGACCACCATTGGAAACCTGGAAGCAATAGATGGCTGTTTCGTCCTGGTATGGGACTCATCAGCAGTGCGCATTCTCATGGTGGTCTAACAATGATTGATTGATGATTTCAAATGTGTTAAAACACAAACCTCCAAAACTCTAACTGAAAATATCGTTCACTGTGCTCACTAGTGACTAGCTTCTTCATGAGGAAATTCTCAGAGTTCTACTTGAGAATATGTGATCAATGGAGTTCAACCCTGTTGGGTGTAGGCAGTAACTACCAAAGACAAATGAGTGAGGTCACGCAAAATCCGTAGATCAATCCAAGTTAGACATTAACACCGTTCGATGCCGCCAGCACAGTGGTCCGATGTTTAGGTGTTCGCGCACAATACCGAAGGTCCCGGGTTCGAATCCTGCATGTTGCAGGAGTCGTGGATGCACACTGTCACCGATGAGTCCTATACCAGGACGAAACGACTGTCTTTCAGTGCTCCCAGGTTTCCTCTAATGGTGGTCTAACAATGATTGATTGATTGATGATTTCAAAAATGTATAAAAACATACAAAACCTCCAAAACTCTGCCGACAAATTTTGTTTTTTTCACTTTGTGTTCTATCTTTTTTTTTTCTCCTCTTGTTCTTCTTCATCTGTTTAGTTTGATGAATATAGATATTTGTCTAAAAATTTCGATCAATATTATTCTAGAACTGTCGATTGGTCAATACGATTTCACGCTGAAGCAAAACGATTAACTAAAGAAGTTAAAAACCGATTCGATCATAGAATTCGATCTTATGAACAAGAGATCAATCAGTATTTATCAACTGTCGTTAAAAATTCAGACTATAATTATTCAAATATTTTTATTAAAAAAGATCATTTACGTTTAGAATATGAAATGATTAATTATTTGTTAAATGCATGCATTTTATTACGTGAACGATTATTCACTGTGTGTACTCAAATAGCTAATATAGTTTGTAATCGTTTAATTAATGAACCTACATTAGTTGGTGATTGGATAAGAGATTTATGCGCACAATATCATCAGAGAGAAGAATTTTGTGAATTTTTTCATAGACTTGATGAATTAAAAGATGTCTGTGTATGGGATACACATCATTTACAATTAGATTTTGGTTTTAGTGTTTATGTATATCATATTTATAAAATATTACCTCTATTAAATCGTACATTAAAAATGGAATTGAAAAAAAATTATGAATTAATTCAATGGACTGAAGATGAATACATTAGTGAATTACATTATCAAGAAAAATTTCAAATATTATTAAATTTATTTATTATAGCTACAACAATATTTAAATTAGCTTTTTTAGTGATCATTATTCGTGCCGATCGATATATTTCTCAATTTCTATTGGATATTCATTTTGATAATGTTCATTATGAGTCAACACTTTCATTGATTATCAAAAATCGTATTCATAATGATAATGATGATGGTGGTATTATGAGTCATGAAAATGATAACAAACATTTTCGATTATTACGATTTAATGAATTATGTTTAATATCATTTGATTTAATTAGTTATATTATAATACATATTAAAAATAATTTTTATAATTTTATTACAGTTGTTGGTTTTGGTTCATTATTATTTAGTATAGTATATTCAGATATACAATTTTACAATTTAATCTATGCATTAGATACAGCTGTATTGAATTATACAAAAACATTTAATGAAATCCAAATACATCATAATATAACTTATGCTAATGAAACAATAGAAAGTCATGATACATTTGTAAAATTAATTCAATATGGTTTAATAGAAGAGATTAAAAAAGAAATATTAGATAGTGTTAAACGAATAAAATCAAAACATTTAGATTGTGATATAAATGATTGTTTAGCAAATGGTTTTGAAGCTGATTTTACATATCCTATACATTTTTCAATATTATGGATATTATTAATGACACTTACAATTGCATCGAGTAGTTTATTGAGTATACGTCGTATTATTGTTAGTTTATTTTATCCACAATTAGCTAAACGTCGTAAATTAGCTGCTTATCATAAACATGTTGAAATGTTAACTGCTAATGTACAACAAGTATCATCATCATCACCAACTAGATCATCAACATCATCATCAGCGCATCATCGTCATCCTCATCATCATCATCATCATCACCATCACCATCCTCATCACCATCATCCTCATCATCATCATCGTCATCATCGTAATCTATTACTTAATCGTCTTCGTCGAAAACATCAACAAACCAGAAAAAATGAATCGGACAAAAATATATCACTTTGGCATAGAATAGGTGTGGAACTTGTCTGTCTACTTGGTTTCGATGAAAATGTTTGCTTTGTATGTGATGGTCAAGTTCCGTCGAATCCGAAACATTAGACATCTATCTATCTATCTATCTATCTATCTATCTATCTATCTATCTATCTATCTATCTATCTATCTATCTATCTATCTATCTATCTATCTATCTATCTATCTATCTATCTATCTATCTATCTATCTATCTATCTATCTATCTATCTATCTATCTATCTATCTATCTATCTATCTATCTATCTATCTATCTATCTATCTATCTATCTATTTATCTATCTATCTATCTATCTATCTATCTATCTATCTATCTATCTATCTATCTATCTATCTATCTATCTATCTATCTATCTATCTATCTATCTATCCACACATCTATCTATCTATCTATCTATCTATCTATCTATCCACACATCTATCTATCTATCTATCCACACATCTATCTATCTATCCACACATCTATCTATCTATCTACACATCTATCTATCTATCTACACACATATATACATATATACATATATATATATACATATATATATATATATATATATATATTTTCATCAGATGAACAACAATCCTCCTTAAAGATGGTTGGCAGTAATAACTATACGAATGGATATTCAAGAATGCAGATCGTTACAGTCAAAAGTGTTATAGCATGTATTATGTTCAATTGGACTGATTTTCACTTGGCAATCACTTTAACAATGATTGTTAATATTCTTCCTATAACCTCCCATTCTATGGGTGTGTGTGTGTGTGTTTGCGTGTATTTTCGTAACTCAAACTTATCTTATTCACTGCATGTCTTATTGTTAATATTATTATTATTATAGGGCATATAAATGTTTTGAGTAAAATCTATTCAGCATTCACCTCTATTCATCATTGATTCGTTCTTTATTCATATTATTCTATAGATTATACGAGTTCTGATTTGTAAAATTACTTTAACGCATCTCTCTATCTCATACACACTATCATTCCGATATTATTCATATGTTTATTCTGATTATTAAATTTGATAAATTTTATTCAAAGTTTTAACAGTTTTCTATTATTTTTTTTGTTATACTTATTATGACAGATGTGATTAATTAAGCTTGGAGCGCTTCTAGGATTACTGCCGGTCTCCCAAGACCGGGTAAAGGAGGAAAGGTGGACATGCAGTGGGTTAGCAACTTTATCGCCTAGAAATCCAACTCGCTAAACGAAAGATGCTAACCAGAAAAATTATTCAATGATTGGTAGTCTATACTCCATTATGGGTAACAGATTTAAGTAAAGTAAGTAAGTATTCATAGTCAACCAACATGCCTGCTGCACATGCACATCGCTGCGTTGATATACAGCGCAAGGATACTCACTGTTGCCAACAGTACTGACCCCTTTTGGGTACATACATGTTGTCCGGTTTGGTCTGCAGACAAGTCGGACATCCAAAAAGCGCGCACACGAGCAGTGGCCCCTGCACGGGCACCTATGAATCAAGAAATCCCACCAACCAAACCACAGCCCACAATCCCCAATCGGCGAGGGCGGCAAGGCGGGCTTATCCTTCCGGACAAGGGACCGCGTAGCAGGTTACCGAGCCACCCAAGCAGTGCACTAGCCAACAGCCATTCCAACCGTCTGGCCTCCAACTTCCTTGTGTCAATACAATCGATCGAGGCCCTCTTTACCCCGCATGAAGCTAAAGATCGAGTTTGTTCCACAAGGTCAGCTAGAACGTACACCTTTCCATGAGGAAGATGTCATGAACTCGACCGAACGCAAGCGCTCAGCCAAACAGGGTTCATCCCACAGAAGTGGGCAGACATCATTGGTGTTCAATGCCCTTTTCAGCACTAAAGCACCGGAACCCAACTTGAGACCCTTGTTTAAGGGGCCTCGACGCCAGTTCACACACAACATCGAGTGAAGCATGTAAGGGACAACCACATATGGCCGGCGTCAGTAGTCCAGGATATCTGCGGCTGCTTCCCCAAACATAGGGTCCAGGGCCGCCCTCGATCATCCTACTACATCCCTTTCGAGAATTTACCTACGCTTGAAGGACGGGATTCGGACCTAGAGTCGTTCAGTCTTAATCCCCCAGACTGGTCAGACGCATCCACAGCCTTGCGACCATGAGCGTGCCAATTATCCGGACCATGCAAAGCACGGTATCCTAAGTGATCGGAACGACTTTAGCCGCAGCGATGTATCCACCCCCTTTTTGCATGGCGGGACCACGAAGAGGTAGTCGCCACCACAACCCCCTCCAAAGGCACCAATATTGCTCAACCCGAGGCCACCTCAGGCATTCTAAGGCTACGCCCCTCATATGACGATGAAGAGGCATTTGGCTACCTTAAGAGAGTCATAGTTACTCCCGCCAAAGTGGCTGCCGCCTCCGGGTGGGCTCGAACCACCAACCTTTCGGTTAACATCCGAACGCGCTAACCCATTGAGCCACGGACGCGCAAGTAAGTAAGTAAGTAAGCAGAAGAATTCATAGTTCAGTGTTTTTCAACAGTGATTGTTTGTTCACAACACGTTTTCTTATCCATGTTACAATAGATCACAGCCAATAATTTAACAAGAAAGTAAGTATTTTACCAGAGGAATTAAGTGTAAGAGAGATAAACTTTTACTTTACAAATATTTATTTACAAACGAAACGGCAGAGCTCATCAGTTTGTTTGCTTCTCCACTAGTATTTATTAGTCAAATTTAAAGTGACTACTGAAAATCTCCATAAAAAAAACTAGACTTATACATTTAAATTATAAATAGAGTATGGCCAGAACAGACTGTTTTATTGCATGGGAAGTGATGACAAAGCTCAGGTCGATTTGAAATTAAAATCACGAGATCAGATGATGGAGTTATTTTATTCCAGTCACTATTTTTTGTCACACATTTTTTGAAACCATGAATCGATCAATGTTAGACTAACACCCTTAGAAACCTGGAAGCACTGGACGGCCGTTTCGTCCTAGTATGAGACTCCTCAGTAGTGCGCATCCACGACTCCTGCACCCCGCAGGATTCGAACACAGGACCTTCGGTATTGTGCGTGAACGCCTAACCATCGGATCACTGAGCCGTTATCTAACGGTGTTAATGTCTAACTTGACCAAATTCACGGAGTTGCGCAACCTCATACACAATCTTCGGTAGACACTGCCTACACCCGAAAAAGTTGAACTTCACAGTGGTCACGTCTTCCCACTAGAACTCGGAGAAGATTCCTCACGAAGCTAGTCACTAGTCAGCTCAGGTAATTTGCATTACGGGATTGTGAAGATTGTTAAGTTACACATTTTTTGAAACCACTGCTGAGGAGTCCCATACTAGGACGAAACGGCCGTCCAGTGCTACCAGGTTTCTAAGGGTGTTAGTCTAACATTGATCGATTCATGGTTTCAAAAAATGTGTAACTTAACAATCTTCACAACCCCGTCATGCAAACTATTTTTTGTGTCGATTCCATATGAATTTAGGGCCAAGTTGACAGATGTGGAAATAATGTTTTCCATCTATCAATCCAAGTGAACTAACTGTATTTAGTTAGTGTGCTTTTTATAGTAACTCCATGTATTTTCACCTGTATTGCTGCATGTAAAAATTGGTAAATAATAGGCGATAGAGAGCAGCAGGTCCTGACAGGCTAACGCTTGAGATTTTTAAGGATGATGGTCCAGTTTTTTAACAGTTAGATCGACTAAGATAACTGGACGTAATCCCATCGGACTAGTCTCAATCACTGACTGTCTCAGTCTATAAGAAAGGACTAAATTCCTGATGTAACAATCAGAGAGGAATCAGTTTAACTAATATAGTGTCTAAGATAATGGCTTCAATAATACTTCAACGCCTAACTAAGGCGCTTGAAGAGCAGACTTGATGAAACCGGGCTGCTTGCCGACCTGGACGTGGATGTATAGACCAGACATTCACACTTCGTCTGGTCCTAGAACACAGACACACATTTCGCTGTCCGACAATAGTTGTATTTTTTCAATTAGAGTCATAGGAATGAGTGTTTTTACACACTGATTTCATGAAGCAAGCCTTGTTAAACCACCGTTGGAATCCTGGAAGCACTGGACAGCCGTTTCGTTGTAGTTCAACGCTCTCATCAGCAGTGCCTATCCACAACTCTTGCACCTCGCAGGATTCGAACCCAGGACCTTCGGTCTTGCACGTTAACGTTTAATTACTGAACCAGTGGATTGGTATCCAACGGTGTAATTGTCTAACTCTGATCAATTTACGTATTTTGCACGACCTCACCCATTTGTCTTCGGTAGTTACTGCCTACACCTGACAGGGTTGATGACTTCAGTGTGTAAAAACACTCGCCAACCGCTATGATTAGCCAAACTTTTGACAGAGGTTGCTCATAATACACAGCCAAATAACTTATGGTTATGATTGTGTCACTTTTTCTAAATAGCCGGCATCCGATATTCAGTAACTCAGATAAGCACATCCATCTATGACAGAACGAAAGTTTTGAAAAGCAGCTATCAGTAAAAATCAATATTACCATTTTTCAAATCAAACTAATGTACTTATCGAACGTGTTATTGATTAGCGCATGATAATATCTCAGCACATTAATAAAGCATGTTATTAGTGGGATATAGGTTGGATTAAAGCATGATTGTGTTGGCTCTTTCGTATCTAATCAGCGTTAGCCGATAATGAGGAAATATTCTAAAATCTTCTTATGTAAGAAAACTATGAATATACTAACATCTTTTTTCCTTTGGGCCTTCTAACTTCGTCCTAACCTTGTTATTGGTGGAATATAATCTATTTTCTCCTGTTCAACCGTGTTGTGATTTGGGAGCGAACATGCCGAGAATACTAAACATTATTAGGAATAGCTGGGTTGTAATATAAGGAGAGAATTATATGACACATGTATATTCATATTTTATGCGCAAATTGGATAAGTTTGTAACTCTCGGAAAACTAACAACAGTCAATGATTAAATCAAAGAAAACAGACAATTTCAATGAGACGGCCTTTAGTTAAGGATTAGTTACTTTTGTTAGGATATTCATCCGTTATCCTAAGCGAATTATTGGTCAATTCCTATTGGTTAATTTCTACTGGTCAATTTTATGATCGTCCTAGATATCAATGTCACCTACTCCAATGTTGTTTCTTATTAGTTGTCCTGACTATCAATGTCACAGACTTCGATGCTGTTTCCTATTCAACCAAAATGCATAAATACGCACCATCTGTAACGTTTTATAACCCGGACCAAGACCCGTGTTTCTCTTCTGGACTCGGACCTCGTACTTTCTGGATGCATGTAGAATACATGTTCTACTTCACATCAAGTCTTCCTCTTTCAGTCAATGGGATTGGGACACTCGGATTTGAGTAGCCTGTCGTGTCGATCCTCGCTCTCGTTTCCGACTAAGATGAACTCGTAATAGTTCAACCAACTCAAAATGACATGTTTACATGCATACGTAACAACTTTATTCAGTAAGGATTTGTTTATAAGAAAGTTTGAATAGATATGGTGATGATATATTAGATTGATGAAGCATCTGTCCAATAGGATTGACTGTGTTGTTGTCAGAGATGACACCATAGAGAAGAACATGCTACACTTGTTACAGAAACACTGAAAAAAATCGATATCCTTTTTGGGGTTCATAAACCAGTGAAAAAAGCCTGCCATGCTTCTAGTACCAAAATATCTTGCGCTTATCATTCCACCATTCACAGTTGAATAAGACAGCCCTTGAATTTAAATTCAATTTGTGTTCAGATTGGTCATCAGACAACTAACTGTATTACGCAATCAATATCATTAATAATGAAGAGACAGTATCCATACTTCATCTCGACAGTATGTAGACGGTTTACATCACTTGCCAATCCCAACGTTCGTGAGCGTGAACACACATATAAGAAAGAGTAGTAGTACATTATAATTGTGACAGTCAATAATATTAGCTGGTTGCCACAACCAAAATATTTAGAGCGAACAGTTCAAAAAATTAAATTTAGTATAGCTATGCATATTTGTTGGGGATGTTAGATCCCAAGAAATCGCTTGATAAATGCCTGAATTTTAGATTTCATGTTTGCGAACATGGGTCGATCAGCTGACCTTGGGATTTCATTTTCCACCAACAAAAGCCTTGTCTGTGATTGGCTGCTGTGTATTTTAGTGTGTTATATTTGTGACTGTCTCAAGGACGTTTCTATGCTGTATAAATAAACGAGAGTTCTGTGCTTGATTGTATTGTGATTGCTGGGTGTTTGTAGAATACACTCTCTACGCTTATCGAGACTTCTGTTTTGCAGTTTTGGGATCAAGGTAGCGTACCTGGAAGCTGGTAATTGTCTCGCTCGCGTTTATCGACTAAGGTGAACTCGTAATAACTTCAAGGGTTTTATTGTTTACGAAAACTTTTTTTATAACAATCGACGATAATTAGGTTTCGAGGATTAAGGTTAATTTGTCATTCGTTTCTCTGAAGGGATGATTAACTCAGCAGTTTCCATTTTTTTTTCCTTTTGAGATGTTATCTATTGATTGGGATATGGGATATTGTTATGATCGTCACTAAGTATGCTTGATAAACCAGAACGAGACAATGAACCAGAGTCCAGGTAGGCTACCTTAATCTATAACGGCAAAACAGAAGTCTTGATAAAGCGTAGAGAGTGTATTCTACAAACAACCAGCAAGTACAATGCAATCAAGCACACAACCCTCGTTTATTTATATATCATAGAAACGTCCTTGAGACAGTTACAAATCTAACAAACTAAAATACACAGCAGCCAATCATAGCCAAGGCTTTTCCTGGTTGGAAATGAAATCTGAAGGTCAACTGATCAGCCCATGCTGACAAACGTGATACCCAAAATTAAGGCATTTATCAAGCGAGTTCTGAAGATCTAACGTACCCAACAGATATTTTGCATGGAAAACATTTGATCGATTAACCTGTTAAACAGATTAGTTATGTGAACAAGCTGATAATGCAAAGTACTTCATTAAACACTATCTTCACTACTGATAAAATCTTTTCATTGTATCCGAACACAATACATACAAATGATCCATTGATTTGGTTCATAGAATTAATATATTCAAGCTAATGAAAGTGACATCATGTATGGGAAGGAAAATAGCTCTATGAATTGAGTCATATTAGTAATTCTAACATCAGCCAAGTGCCTGAAAAGATAGTTGACAACACACGGACTGGTTATGATCAATTAAACTGCAAAATCGTGCATGCAGGACAGCTGACAGACTCGTTCAAGGTGAGAACTGGTGTCAGGTGAGGTGATTTACTATTAACGTTCCACTTTCTCCTCAGAATCGACTGGATTATGAAGACGTCAGTACCTGGAGGTAAGCATGGCATAGAGTGGACGACCAGGATGCAGCTGGATGATCTGGCATTTATATCCCACATGCAACAACTGATGAAAAAGAAGACAACCAGTGTAGCAGCAGCCTCATCAGCAACAGGTCTCAACATATACATATGGAAAAATAAGATTCTCCGAAACAGCACAACATGCACCAACTAAATCACACATGGTGGAGATGACTTGGAAGATATAAAAAAACCTTTACTTATCTGGGCAGCATCATTGACGAGTAAGGTGGATCCGACGAAGATGTGAATTCACGGACAGGCAGAACAAGGGCTGCATTTCTACAACTAAAGAACATCTGGAACTCGAAACGACTATCAACCTACAATAAAGTCACTATTTCCAATAAACATGTCAAGACAGTTCTACTGTTGTGAAGGAGAACAAAGGTGAGGGCAACCGAATTGTATTTAACGAAAATTATAGAGTTACTCAGTAAAATAGGAAAACCATATCGTACCCGTTAATTTGCAAATCTTCAATCCATCATCAATCCATTGTCTGACATTTCACTATTCATGCGTTTCATACAAATTCCATTGTGTTCTCACTCTTCCTTTCTTGATCTTCCCCCATCTTCTGCTGCCAGACATTACGTTTACACTCGCGTCATATACTACTTATAAGTAGCGCGAACCACACTACTATATGGGGCAGAAACTTGGAGAACTACCAAAGCAATCATCCACAAGATACAAGTATTTATTAACAGCTATCTACGCAAAATATTTCGCATCCGTTAGCCAGACACAATCAGTAACAATCTACTGTGGCAGAGAACAAACCAGAAAGTCAGAAAGAAGCGCCGAAAATGTATAAGACACAAATTGAGGAAAGCTCCCAACTACGTCACAAGAAAAGTCCTCATTTGGAATCTTCAAGTTCAAAGGAGAAGAGGAAGACCAAGAAACACTTTCCGTCTAGTCATGGAGACGACATACATGAGGAGAATGAACAACAATCAACCAGAACTGGAAAGAAAAGCCCAGAACAGAGTTGTTTGGAGAATGATGATAAGGTTGTCGATTACTTTACTGTCTAAACTCATCGTTACATGGAATGTAGAGAGAGAGAGAGAGATAGAGATGAAGAGAGGGAATGAAAGGTATTTGACAAACGACTGTATATAAAAAGTCTAGGTTAAATATATATCCTAGAGAGTGTCAAACTAAATCAAAGATAGAGACACTTATTACCTTCCATTTCATGACTACATGTTTATCTTATTTCCATTATCGAACTTAATCATTTGTCTTCAACGCCTTGTTTATGTCAACAGAACTAAACTTTTAACTGTAATCAACTAGATTTGACTTAATCAAACGTTCAACTTCCTGATTCGAGGTTTAAACTTTATCTGATTGCTGACAATGAGACCAATCTTTTAGATGTTT